GATTGTGGGAAATTTTCGCCACATATATTTCTACCTTTCAGTACATCTCCATCCTTCCCTACTATTTCAGTAAAACCGAAAAAAGGTTATATTTCGTTCGAAAATCATTCGTAAAACGTGTAGTCCTCGCGTTTTCACCGATTTTCTCCGCCATCATGATATCCGTCGTCAGCGTGCTGCTAGTACAACAATTATTGTCACCAAACTTTGAAATGAGGAGTGACCATCATAACAGGATTGACATTATACGAACCTTCGTCATGTTTTACGTGGTCTTCATTCTTCTCATGTTCAACCCAACAAGCTACGTTGTGGCCTATCGAGGCGAGCAGGTGTGCTTAATCATTAATCCGATTGTAGAATTTCAGGCAAGGCTACAAGGTAATGTGTTCTTCACGATTCAGAACCTTGTTGAATTTCTTAGTATACATAATTTGCGTTTATGCAATAAGTACATTTGTTGGGAATTTTTAAATATATTTTTCCCATTTTATGTCATAATATGTTCTCCCCATTTATTCACAAAACATGCAAATATTTGTCGTATAGCGAATTATTTTAGCATAAAAACCTTTCATATTTGTTATGCAGTTAACCATTCTTTCATAAAAGCTTCCAATATTTTTCATGCACAGCTATTTATCAATTTCTGAATAAAATTAATACCATTTTTGCATTTCATATGTTCACATATATATCTTAAAATAAATGCCCCATATGGGGCATTTATTTGTGATATATATCACAAGATCCCCATATCACAAGATAAATTTTATTAATCTCAACTGACAGGATTATACTTGTACATATTTACAATCATTTACCAGAATCATTGAAAAAATTCATCTGCACCATAATATAATAATAATAATAATAATAAGAATAATAATAATAATAATTTATTCATGACAATTCTTACCAGGCTCATGGTCCATAGAATTACAGGTTAAATTACATCGTAAGGAATTAAATAACAAATCAATAATACTACAATGACAATTATTTCCTTGCAAAATTATCCTGGGGGTTCTCGCTTAATAACATTCTACTAAATAAGGTTTGTGTGTATTAAAATACAGATTCTTAAACATTTGCATTATAACAAGAATAAGACAACTTGATTAAAACACAGTGATAGGTTAGGAAAAACTCACTTAAAAATTAAAGTCATTGTTTGCAGGATTCAAGCACTAAAATCAAATAGATAACCATCAGACATAGTTAGGTATCAAATTTATAAACATATAATAAGAGCATTATTATTCAGAATTCCATCTCAACTAATTAGGTCAATACGAACGAATTCAATTGATCAAATTAAATAACTCAAAGTGGTGGATTACTAAAATCAAACCATTAAATACTACCCCATAATTTATAAACGTAAAAAGTAAACAGTCAGTATTCACTGCTCCATAAACGATACTACTGAGGGTAGTCCACATCCGTGAAAACGTTTTTGACCTTTAATATCTTTGGCGCTAGTAGAAATTTTGAATTGAAATTTTTACAATTTGTTCACCTTATAGTCAGCATTATGGGTGCAAAATTTCAATTCGCTAGTCCAAATGGCGCCAGAGATATATGCATACGAAAAAATAGTTCTTTTCTAAAACTGTCCAAAACTGCATAAATTTTAAGTTTCAGAATATTTTTAAAACCTTCTAGAATTGTGAATTGTTTATGGAATTTTATGTGGGTGGTATGAAAATTTTTGGCATCTATGTGGCTTTCATAAATAACTCAAAATTTCCCAATTTTTTAAAAATTCATTTCATACCAGGTGGATTTGTACAAAAAAAGAAGCGTGAATAAAGTTTTTCTTTTAGTTAAATGGAATTTTATAAATCACAATAATTGAAATGTTTTTATGTTTATTATTTTGGACGTTAGAGGAGACATTACTGATGGTAATGCAAACAGATTTTGGACTACAAATGTTTAATTTCGTGTAATGGAGGTACTTGGGAAAAATTAGCGAAATTTTGACAAATTGGGGACTGTTATAACTTTTACTCTGAAACTCTACCCAGCTATTTTTTTATCAAAATTTAAACTGCATTGTGTACCACAGACATGGGCTCACACAATCCAATGCTATTTCCTGGCATTTATAGCCTATCAGCAACTGCTCCATGTCTTTAAACCGGGTAATTTATGTTTGAAACAAAAAAAACATCATTGTTTTACTGTGGGGTTAGTTGAAGGTCTGCTTTTTACACTAGAGAATTGAAATTTTGCACCTATAATGCTGACTATAAGGTGAACAAATTGTAAAAATTTCAATTCAAAATTTCTACTAGCGCCAAAGATATTAAAGGTCAAAAACGTTTTCACGGATGTGGACTACCCTCGGTATTTTCAAGTCAGTTAACTGCAGATCCTCAAAATTAAATTCATAATTCCAAATTAAATTTGCAATATTATTCACAAGATCAACCGATTATGCTAATTAGTATGACAATAACTGCAAAAATCAAACCATTAAATACTACACATAGCAAATCTCCATTTTTCAAGTCCTCATAAGAAAATCATAAAACTCCAATTCTGAAATTATACATTTTCACTAGGGAAGCATCTATTTCCCTCGTCAGTGATTTCATGTTGGCATCCAGAAATGAAAGTATGTAGGCTACGCCGTCATCCGAAATTGGTTGGGATAATTTTGAACTTGGTTTAACGTCTTTGAGATGTGGTCCTTCCAAGTAATGTGTATCGAGTTGATCGTCTTTTTCGGGTTGAACGTCTTTTCTATAGGGGGCTGTCCACACTTGGCGTGGTCCAATTTCTCTGTCTTCTCCGTATTTTTAGTTTGGGCTGTGACTGAATGGCTGACGTCATGATAGGGTGAAATTATAATTTCTTCTGTGATTTGAGTCCCATTCACGAACAGGTCGGCGCCTCGGAAGTAGACTTTGTTTCCAATTTTCTTTTGCTCAAGGAATGCTGGTATTTGTCGTCTCTTCTTTGCACGTTCCTCTTTACTTAGGTCCTCCACAATTGAGATTTTGGCAGGGATGGCTTTTAACTTGTGGCAGTTTCTAAACACCATACTTTTTTGCTTGGTTGATGCCAATTTCACCAGCACTGATTTACCGTTGGACAACGGACGGACATCTTTAACAGTGACATCCACTTCCAAACAATTGGAAAGAAAATCTGTCGTCTCCTTCATTGCAGTTTTGGCAGAATAGTATTCACATCCATGAATTATGATGTTGCATTGTCGATCACAATTTGCATTTGGTTTGGTTTCATAACGAAGAATCGTTTCTGCATTCTTCTTCACTTGCTGCTCCAATCCGATAAACTTATTTATGAATCTGTCCAGTTCACTCTTAAAGTTGAACATTTGCTTCTTTATGTGGCTCAATTCTTCTGCGTGATTAACAAAACTACTTGATAAGAACTCGAGTTTCTCTTTCGCTGATTGTGCAAATTCTTGTAGATCGAGTTGCACATTATCAAGTAACTGAATTTTGTGGGCGTTTTTACTTATATTATTCGTTGGGGTCTTATGTACAAGTGAATATTTCTGATTTTTCCCCATTTTTCGAAGTACTATGAATTTACAGCAGAAATTCTTATGTGGGGGTAATCGCGTTGAATTTAGCTTTATAATGATATAACTTTGTAAGTATGGCTTGTACTTTTACGTAGAGAAAAACTCAATTTAATGGGAGCTCAGAATTAATACGTCTGCTCGCTTCAATAACTAAACGAGAACCTCATCTGCACCAATATTTCCTGCTAATTGCCTTTTCCTATCCGCAGATTTTAGCAACCAGGAACATCTTCCCCCTGTCAACAAAATGCTGGAACTTGCTCTTCACACCTGTATCATGTGCTCCCCGCTCCTTCCGCCTGCCTTAATTCCTACTGTAATCTGGATGGACTTGGACCCTTGTTATTTTCTCAGCAAACTCAACGTTCTCCAAGGATCAATACTTAACATAATAATAATTGCGTTGCGAGTAATAATTCCAATGCAAGTTTGTGGTGAAGTATTAAAATGTTTGTTTGCCCTCCAACTCCGTTGCGTTGATGCTTCTAGGCGTGTTCACTCAAATAATGGCACGTTGCAAAAAATTAATCAACCACCGGGGTATTTCTCCAGTCAAAGTTATCTCGGTTTATAAAGAATTGCAAATTTGGCTTGATTACTGCAACGAAAACTTTTGCTATTTTGCCGTTCCTCCGATGATTATTTTTGGGATGAGCCTCATAATTTTTCAAAATTATGTAACAATCCGCTGGTTTGGGAAAGTATCCCTCGTATTATATGTACAGTATGTAACTAAATTGTAGATGCAAGGACATATTTTTTATTTCGATATGATCCCACAATTTCTAAAATTCCGAACTTCGGGAATAAATGTCAAAAGTATCAACGGACAATTTCCGCGTCGTCGATTTTTAATGTCACACACAGGTCAAAGGTCAGCATTTTTTTAAAGATTCAAAATGAGAGGCCAAAAATAAAACTCCATGAATAATTTTTTTTCGACTTTCCAATATTTTTTATTGGATGCGGCAAGGCCTCATGAAAAAAATGAGCTATCGTATGACCGGATCACCTTCTTAACTTGTCGTAAATGGATTATCCAAAAACGCTCCCTTAACTTACTCATCGTAATGCTTAATCCTGCATGCATATTTCGAATATGCTCCGATCTGATTAACTGCCAAACCACAGGATGATTTGATGGCAGCAAAACTGGCTTTCTGAATGATTCACTCTCTGGCATGTTCGTAATCTTGGTCTTAATTCTGAGCAAGTCGTCTCCTCCTCGAACAACTTGCAGATTCTCCACCACATTTTGATTCATGGGGAAAGATTCTTCTTGTATTTTGTGGAAGATAAAAGTTTCAGCTTCTTCAATTTCTTCCTGTTCCAAGTCGCCAAATATCTTCTCTCCTTTAAATCGACGGATGCTACGCTTCAGCATCGCGATGATACGAACATTCTTCGCAAAAGAGCATGACATGTCTCCATATCAGGGAGTAGATGGCAACGTCGCAATAAGTGACACTTTTGACACTTTTTTCATCTCGGCACGAACTTCTTCATCGTCCGCTTCAGCTTTACTTGATGGCCATTCCGATTTCGGTTTCTTTAGCCAATCCGGGCCCTCCCACCACTTCGAATTGATGAGATGAGAAGGACTGCATCCTCTTGAAGGCAGGTCGGCTGGGTTGAGGACGCCCGGCACATGGTTCCATTCCATGGAATTACTGAGGGAGCATATTTCCTTAACTCGGTTTCCCACAAATGTTCCCCATTCATCATTGCGCTTTATCCAAGCCAGCGCTGTCGTCGAGTCGCTCCAGTAAAAAGTTGGGGTCTCGGCGGACAAGGCCTCCTTCACTGATTTCGAAAGTCTGGCAGCAATAGTATATCCTAATAGCTCCAGTCTCGGAATTGTTACCTTCTTCATGGGGGCAACTCTCGCCTTAGCTTGTAACAATTGGACTGAAACTTGTTCATTATCTTCAACTCGTACAAAAACGGCGGCGGCATACGCATGTTGACTTGCGTCACAAAATACATGAAACTGGCGATTGCTTTCATAACTTAAGCAAAACGCCCACCTCGGAATTTTCATTTCTTTTAATAGCTGAGCCTGATTCCACCAATCTTCAAATTCTTTCTTAATTGGTGAATCCAACTCTTCATCCCATGAATTCTTCTCCGTCCAGGTCTTTTGTAATAACAACTTCGGGATGATAGTGGTTGGACTCAAATATCCCATCGGGTCAAAAAATTGTTGCACTTTTGACAACATCACTCTCTTGCTAATATTTTCAATCTGTTCTTCTTTCGGGACGGAAACTGATAACTCATCCTTCTTCTTGTCCCAGTTCAGTCCGAGCACTACAGTTGTCTCTTGACTATTCTCATCCTTGTCAAACTGCTCGAAACTGATTCCAGCGGCCCCAGAGGAGGAACGTTCCCATTGACGAAGCTCCATCCTGGCGTCGCACATCATCTTGACTGCTAAACTCTTGAACTTTTCATATTCTTCTTCCGTATCAACTGATGTGACACAATTGTCAACATAAAGAGAACGCAGCAGTTTAATTGCATACTCCTTTTCTTCTCCAGTAACCTGGCTCAAATGGTACTCGATAACAGCTCCGAGTAAGAATGGGCTGCACTTGACCCCAAAAACAACTCGCTTGTGGCGATAAATCTTCATTCTTGGATTCTCTTTATTATCCCACCAGAGGAAACGCTGGAAATCTTGATCCGGCTTCGCTACTTCTATCATTTGAAATGCTTTTCTAATGTCAGAAATGACACCAATTTTCTTTTCGCGAAATCTCAACAAAATTGCAGGTATGAGCTCCAATAAGTTCGGTCCTTTTTCCAACAAATCATTCAGTGACGGGTTTCTTCCATACTTACAGGAACGTAAACGGGACGAACTGGAGTTGTCTTACTCTCTAATTTGTACACTGGACGATGTGGCAGGTAATGACAAGGCCTGTCCACGCCTCCAACTACTTCTTCAATTAATCCTTCCTTCTCCCAATCTTGAAATACTTTATCATAAAGTTCATAATTTCCTGACTCTCGTAATTTTGTCGTAGTGGAAATTAACCTCTTCTCCGCGACGACCTTGTTGTCGGGAATGGTCCTTTCTTCATCAACCCAGGGAAGCGCCACGGCGTGTCTTCCTTCTTGAGTTCTTGAAACTGTCCTCAAAAAATGCTTTCTTGCTTCTTCTTCCTTTTCATTCTTGGTTCTATGCTCGGTAGGATCATTGATTCCCAGAGTCTTGAGCTTCCATAAATCCTGAACATATGCTTCTGCATTAAATAATGAGTGATGAATTGACATTACTCCCATGCTAACTTCCTTTCCTGGGACAGGTCCACTCAGGGTCCATCCAAAAACAGTCTCCACTGCGACAAGACCACATGATAACATCAATGGTTTGCCACACACAAATTGTCCCCAATAATCACTTCCGATTAATAACTCGATGTCCGGGTGGTCCACATGGCTCATCTCAAAGTCTGACAGAAAAATCTTCCTCTTCTCCAACTCATTCATCCACGGACCGGCCGGAATTCTTTGAATGTCTCCACAAATAGTTGGGGACTCCCTAAAAATAATGTCTCTCTTGAATCTCCCATCGAGGCTTTGAACTTGCACTTTAAATTTCTTAATTTTCCTCGGCTCCGTCAAAATTCCACCAAACAGAACGTTACGAGTCCATTCTTCTCCCACGAGTGGACTTCCGATTGCAGAGATCGTCCTCTGACCACCGCTGCTCTGCTGGCTTCCCTCGTCGAACAGCAACCTCACTATTCTTGTTCCTTTAGGACCAGCAATCTTCACCAACAACGTCTTCATCAGTACATCTTTGCTGCATGAGTGGTTGGCATTTGCTGCTGTCACTGGGAGTTCACTGTGTACCTCTTCTCTTCCGGTATTGTTCCTTTGATTTGACGGAAGTCTTGCACACATTGATCTTGCATGGGGCTCGCCGCAAGATGAACATTTCAACTTAACTTTACAGTCTGATTTACGATGTCCAAATTTCAGACACCGATAACACAAATTCTTGCTTCTTATCAGATCACTCTTCTCTGACCAACTCATCCTATCCGCTCGATAACACTCGGTACTTGGATGGTTGGATTTGGAGCAAAACACGCAATTGCTGCTCTGCGCCACGAACAATCCTGCTGCGGTTGGGATTGAATCTTTCTTCTTTCCATGATTTTCATATTTTTCTTTCTTGGACTTGCCAGAAGAATCACCTCCAATAAACATCTTCAGCTTTGCTTCTCGTTCCACTTCCTGTCGGAGGAACTGCATTAAATAGTCGAGTCTTGACTTTGGTGGATTAACTTTCGCACCATCTTCCTGCTACAATGGAGATCGATACCAGGCATTAAAAATGTCCTTAGGGAGACTGGTCTCAATAATGGGGCGAAGAAACAATGTATCTCTTTCAGACTTCACTCCCAACGACTCCAACGCCTGCAGCTGCGTTTGAAGACGATCGTAAAACTTCTCCAATGATAACTTCTCTTTTTCGAACAAGAACTGTGCCAGCTCTCTTGTATACAGGTCAACAAGGATGTCATCTTTCCCGTACCTTTCCTTTAATGCTCCAATAGCTTTCGGATAATTTGCATCCGTCTTCGGATAGCTTCTGATAAGATCCGCGGCCTTTGACCCGCTGACCATACTCTGCACTAAATAATGGAACTTGTCCGTCACATGTAAATCTTCATCTTCATCAATCTTCTTAAATTGCGCCCACCACTCCAGCCAGTTCTTGATCTCCCCGTCAAACTTCATTAACTCGATCTTTGGTAGCTTATAATTCTTCTTAAGAAGTCCTCCACTAGCAGTGCTGTAAGAACTATTTGTCTGGCTTGCTGATCGTTCTGGACCAAGGAACTTTTCAACTTTGTGGCGCACAAATCTACACTTATCATTGTATCCTTCAATTGATCTTGATTCTTCTAAATAATCTTCTTCAGTGAGGTTTTCATTGTCCAAAATTGCATCCAAAACTTGCTTATCCAAATCCACCACGGTGTCGGTAAGCTCGATCAACTTCTTCAACTTCACAATCAGGACGTCCTTATCTTTATCGTCTTTCGTCATTTCCTCATCCAGCTCGTTGACCGTCCTAGTCATCATGGCTCGAATGGGTGTACGCTGCTTCTTTAGTCGATCCATCCTGTCTCGAACCGAATAAAGCCAGCAAAGAAAAAACAATTAGTTTAATCTACTCTAAAATTCTCCAAAAATATCGACGATCCCACCTAGGTAGGCTACGCTCAAGGCCGTAGCAAACCGTAAATTCAATTTTTTATTATTGACGCAAGATCCACACGGGTTGCTCTTCCCACTCGACCTCTGAAATCAGCAACCTTTACGCATTGTGCATTAAATTATCTACATATGTACATGGTTTCAGAATCCTTTCAGTATGCTTCCACCCTTTTAAAACGGTTCTTTCCTTTCAACCCAGAAATTTGTTGAACCCTTTTATACTTCGGAAACTAATTGGGGTGGAAATAATTGTAGTTGCACCTTCAGTCACAGTTGATCTCCACACGTCAAATCAACTAAACTATACATATGTCGTATGTACAAACATTGATAAAATTATGTCAAAGGTCAGCTAATGAAAGAATGTATCCACATTCCGAAGGATGAGTTTAATGTTTAATGTCATAAAAAAATCAGAATATTATTTGTAAATAGCAGTACCTGGGATTTAAGATATAATTTTATTTAGGGATCACTTTACCCCTTAGTTTATATAAACCTTACTAACTATTTTATGTACATATAATACGTTGATAAAATTATTTGAAACGTCAGCAAATAAAATAAATATACCCACATGCCGGGGGATGGACTCAGTTTCATAATAATTCTGCTGATTTAATTACTTAATGTAATTTTCCTCGAAAAACAGTCCCACGAAGGATTTACTTACCCGTTCAAAACACATTGATCTCTCCACCGTTTGCATGAAATGGGCAAAACTGGTTTTTATAGTGAAAAAGTGTTTACGACCATAACCAATTTTAAATAGTGTGTGAGGTGGGCACAAAATTTCTAGTAAAAATCTATGTAATAATTAATGATTTCACTTTACTTTAATACCGAACTTGAAGATTTTGAAAACAATCGCATTAAAGGAGTTGTAAAAAGTCTATTTTTCAATTGTCTTAAATAACGTTGACCATACATATGCAACCCTGCTTTGCATAAACATACATAAATCAATATCCTTACCTACACTGCACATAAATATATCTTAGCCTTGAATAACAATGTACATATTTACTTCGTCGCAAAAGCTCTTAACACATCTTTTCTCAAATCTTACAAGCTGTTCGGAACTTCTACAAGGCCAAGAATCCTAACTGAACAATGCCTCGGGGTTTTTTACATTTCGATTATTCTTCAGAAATTAAAAATATATTCACTTCACATAAATCCCTCCAACCCACGGACCATGCCCTACTTTCACCCAGATTATGGGAAATTCTTGCAAAATATATTTCAATATTTCAACATTTCTCCGTCCTCCCATTCTATTTCTCTGTAACCGAACGAAAATTATTCTTCGTCCGAGAATCTTTCGTAAAACGTGTAATTCTCAAGTTTTCATGCATTCTCTACATTGCATATGCTCTCTTCACTTTTCTGCTCCTCACGCACAAACTTTTATTTTCCGAAAATTTGAATGTTATGACACGTAGTGTGGAGACTCGAAGGATATTCACCATGTTTTACATCGTCTGTCTCTTTCCTATCTTCATCCCGACCAGTTTCTTAATAGCTTTCCGGGGAAAGTTAATTTCTTTGATGATTAATCCAATTAACTTATTTCATCAGAGAGTCTCAGGTAATGAGCAACATTTGAATGACAAATTTGGATTATTAGAAATACGGTATGGTCAGGCTGGTATTGATTTCTCGTTGTTGAAGTAGCTCCACTTGGTATTGAAATTATCTATGTAGGCATGTAAAAACTTGCTCCGGATATGGTAAAATTTGAATACAAACATACAGCTATTTGAATTTTAATATAGCTGCACTCAAAACAAAAATTTGTCAAATCAACACCGCCGGTGTCAATATATGACTTCACCGCGTTGGTTAAAATGTTGAATCCGAGTTATGATGATTTTGATACCGGTAGTATAATGTTATGACCGGACGGAAAAAATTCATTCGGAATCACAATTGTAACCAAGGCAGTTAAGTCATATATTGATACGGTTTTGTTTTGAGTGTATATTTCTTATCAGTGCCACCTTGGTCGAGTTGTAGCGGGTAGTTGCCTGGACCGCTCTCACCAAGAATATGTACCGCTTGGTGTTATTTTAACCCTGAATTTCTAAAAGTGTACTATATTTTTTTAAAGCTAATAATTTAAGTCAGTAATAAATTAAGATCTGGGCACTAGGGTACTATTATACTATTTGCTCTGGCAAACTAAAACTAATTGTGTAGGCTTAATCACCACACAGTTCTTATGAATTTTGCATATTTTATTTTATTTCTTCCCAGAGTGGGATTTCTATGAAGTTACTAGGTTCCTAATTAATTTTTTTTGAATGTATTAATAATTAATTTCTCTTATACACGTATGCCTCCCAGCTCTGGGAAAAATTCAACATCAACCCCCGACCAATCAAATCTTGGAATTCTGTCTTCTCACTTTCATAAGGATGTCACCATTCATCCCGCCCTTATTAATTCCTCTCGTCGTTTGGCTGGACATAGATCCGCTCTATGTTATCAGTCAGGTTCAGCATTGGCAGTCATCCGGTGCCAGATTTGTCTTAATCGCAATTCGCACAGGAATTTTAGCCCATGTTGTGGGTGAAGTTCTAAAATCACTTTGCGGTCTGGGCACCGTGGCGTTAATATTTTTGGCCGCGACAACTCAAATCATGACGAGGTGCACAAAAAGAGTTGAAAACTTTGAACCCTCTCAAACTAGAGTAATTAAAGTGTATAAAGAACTTCAAGTTTGGATTGGTACCTATAATCAAAATTTTTGTTATCTCGCGGTCCCACCGTTAATTTTCTTTGGTATGAGCATCATCATTTTGGCGAATTATTTAACCATCCGACGACATGGGAGGATTCCGTTTGCATTGTATTTACTACTTCCGGGAACCAGTTTGATCGGGTTTGTTATTGTGGTGATGATTCTGCCACAGGGGACAGAAGTACATGAGAAATCGGTCAACTTTTTGAGGTGTTTGAGGGGGAAGTGTTTCTCAAAATATGGGAAAAAACTTGTTCGGTCACTGAATCCGGTGGGAATAAGGGTTGGGCCTTTCGGCACCTTAACGAAGTCTTGGATGGTGGAAATCGTCTGGAATATTATTTATTACACTATAAATGCACTGCTAACTTTTTAGTGTTGGGGTAGCAATATCTTGTTAGGCAATTAATTTATCAACTTGCAGGTGCGGTGGAAATTACACCTTGATAAGTGTAAAAAAGAAAAAAAGTTATACGCTCATGTATGTTATGGTTATTACCGGTGCCGGTATTATCATTTATATAGACATGTGTATAACATATGTACTTGCGGTATCATAGCGTATGGTGTTCATTTACACATAAATTAGAGATCGGACTTGTACATACTTTGCATATTATGTTGAAAATTATATTATATAGTTTACTTTGATGTAAGTACCAATACATATAGGTATTTCATAATTTCGAACGATTTTGATGGATATAATTATATTATTCCTAGGGGAAAATATCTATACCCAAAAAATATTCCGAATGATGGGTTTAATATTTAATCTCATTAAAAATTAAAACATTGCATTATTTTATAACTTTCAAACCATTTTATGAATAATATGTAGATAGATAAAATTACTATATTTTTTGTACTCTCCAAATACAAAAAATTAGCCAGATGCCGAAGGCTGGTTTACTTTCAGATAAAGAGTCCTTCTTATTTAATAAGCTAATCAGATTTGCCTGAAAACACAGGGTTCATCTTCTTATTCAAAACACGTGGATGCCTGCATAGTTGGCATAAATAAGTTCGACTGGTTTTAAGCGTGAAAAAACGATTGTCCGACTACGCCCAATTTTTAATAGTGTTTGAGCTCGAGAATAAAAATCCCAGTAAAAATCTATGCACCTTGCAGCTGCGGAATAAATTATCAATGATTTCATTTCATTTAAATGCCGTAATTGAAGAATTTGAAAACAACGAGGTTAAAAGGGTGAGAAAAAGTGGGATTTTTTAACGTATTCTGGACAGTTTGCTGTTTTCGTTGACCAGACGTAACACTACTCATTATGTATAAGCATGCATACGTCCATACGTAAACCAATATACTTGTATCTACCTACACATGCAGACATATGTACATACGTAAGAATATTTTAGCCTTGAATAATAAATGTATTTCTTTCGTCTCAAAGTATCTCAATATTTTTTATCAAACATTCCTAACAGTTCGACAATTCTACCAAGCCTAATCGAAAAATGCCTGGTAATTTCTTACGTTTTCATCATTCTTCAGAAATTAAAAAATTGTTCTCTCTACATAAATCCCTCCTACCCACGGAGAATGAATTAATTTCACCCGAACTATGGGAAATTTTGGGAAAATATATTTCCATATCCCAAAGCTTCTCCGTTCTACCCTTGCAGTTCTCTTTGACCGAAAGAAAACTATACTTTGTCCAAGAATCCTTCGTAAAACGAGTAATTCTTAAGTCTTCCTGTGTTCTATACGTTGCGTATGCTCTCATAACTTTTCTGATTCTAACACACAAACTTTTATTTTCCGACAATGTTAATCTTATGACAAGTAATATGGAGACTCGAAGGATTTTCACCATGTTTTATATCGTCTGTCTCTTCCCCATCTTCATCCCGACCAGTTTCCTATTTGCTTTTCGGGAGAAATTGGTTTGCCCGATGTTTAATCCTATTAACTTATTTCAGCTGAGAATTGCGGGTAAGAAGCAACCGTTGCTTAAAGCACCTACCATATTTAAAAAAAATTAATATACACTCTAAGAAACCCGGTAACTAAGTTATTAACAGGCGGAGTATCTATGTGCCTACCGCATAGTAATTAATTTATTATTGAGTGTTAGAAAATTATGTGGGATTTTCAAGCTTCGCGACCGTGGTTATTACTGGTTTGGTAACATAATGT